GGTTTAGAGATGTTGTATGTAGGGTTGCTATGAGTCGCAAGCGACTCGACGGCACATAACAACAAAAACAACATATGTCCTTCCATCATGTTGACATAATCTAAGACACTGGTCTTCATATTTTAGATTTCAGTTTCTAGTTTTTCCAGAGGTTCTAATGCCTTGTTTGTTTTATTCATGTTGTCTTTGATTGCGTTTTTAAGTTCCTCTTGCCTTTTGCTTGTAGAAACTTATAATTCTTGGAGTTTGTCTTTCACCCATTTAAAATATTCAATCATTGTTCTTTTGAATTCTGTGTCAGAAAGTTCCATCAGATTTTCTGGCTATAGGAGTTTCCTTGATTCTTTGTTTTGAGTACGTTTTAGGGATAACATCTTGGTTTGGTTTGGTTTAGGATGTGAAGTAGCCTGATTCTTCTGTGTCATGGCTGTGGTGAGTTTTCCTTGCCAGGGGCCCTAGCAGGACCTTAATCTGATGCCTTTGGTTTGGGAGCTCACTGCTCCAGAGGAGCGAAGGGCAGCTTACCCTGCCTGAATCTCTCTCTGATCCCTGGACTCAAGGAGAAACTTGATTTAGTTAGGGACCTTGCATGTAGTTTTTCACTCTAGTCCTATGACTAAGTTTTCAGGTGTGATTGGCTAGTTGATTTCTGGATGCAGCCCTCCTGAAATCTCTTAGCCTCCTTGGTCTATGGAGTGGTGCAGCTGGATTTCCCAACTCTTTGCTGCTCTGTCTTGACAGTTCAGGAGAAAGAACTTTGACTCAAAACTTCTGCCCTAGGACTATACACCTGTAGCTGCTGATTGCTGTAGCTTTCAAATTAAATTGCATGGCTGGCAAAGCAAGATAATATCTCAGGTAAAAACAGAAAGGGCAACCTAGGTAGAACTATCAAGTATGGAAATAAAAAGGAGGAGGAACAGTTGTAAGCAGACCCTAGTGATCGGAACATGGAATGTGAGAGCCATGAATGTAGGAAAATTAGAAATTGTTAAGAAAGAAATGGAACGCATAAATATTGATATATTAGGCATTGGAGAGATGAGATGGACTGGC